AAAGTCTGAATGTTTTAGATTATCGTTCACACCGAGTTGTTTGTAGATAGTCAACAAGTTCTTAACAAATTTGCTATAAATACTTGTGGGGTTTGTTTTAATTAAAATTCAAAAATAATAAAAATAACGACACTTAGCAGTTGTTAAGTAGAGTATTGGAATTTTTTATTGCTATTGTATATATACAGTGGCGTCGCTTTGGGGTGCAGGCCACACCGGGTGACAACCTGACACAGAGAGGTGACACCAAAATCAAAAAAATGCAGATATGAAAGAATTGCTTATGCTCGTGTTAATTTATTTTTGCGTTCGGCCAGATAATAGTTTTTAGGTTTTAATTTTTCGAAATTCTTTATTAATAATTCTGCTATTTCTTCATTTCACGCAAAAATCTTTTTTCTTATATTCAAAATCAACAGACTGCATTTTAAATGCCCCAACTATTTTTCTAAATTTCTTTTTAGATATTTGAAACCCGTGTCGTCAGCTTTGTCAGTGAAAGTCTAGAGGGGTTACACCAAAAAGTTTTCCGTACTGCGTGACACCAACACTAGCTACGCCACTGTATATATATATATATATATATATATATATATATATATATATATATATATATATATATATATATATATATATATATATATATATATATATATATATATATATATTAGTTTATTAGTTTATTAGTTTATTTCGCCGTTAAAAATATTCACAAAGTACAACAATATAAAAAGTACAAAATACAAAAAAAGGAGCAACAAGAAGGCATAAAATAGCCTTAACACCGAGCCTCAATAGTAACGCAAATAAATATCCGTAATATATAATAATCCGTAATTTATAAGCAACAGCATTTAAAAAAAGACAGTTTTAAAATGTTAAGTAATAAAATTAAAAAAAAAAAAAAAAGTAATAAAATAATTGAAAAAAAAAGAAAAAAAAAAGATTAAAATATAGTAATAAAAATGACAAAAATTTTCTGTTTTTGGTTATAAACTGGATGTGATTCGATATATATATTGTATATATTATTTTCTTTCAAAACAATTCAAAATTCGAATAAAATTTCTGTTCCAATATCATAAAATATATCAAGAAAAATGTAGGTAATTTTAAAAGTATATATTTTTAATGAAAGTATGATAAAGACATTGAAATTCTTAATATTGTTAAATGGTCTAGATTTTTAAATTCATGGTGCTAATTTAGTTTAATAAATTTTAAAATTTTAAAAGTGGCAGAGAAGAATTGCTATATTAAAATCCGTAAGCACTAAATAACGTCTTAACTTAGATTTGAATTGCGGAAATGTTTTTTTTTTAATATTAACAATATGCTGAAAGTTTTTCCACAAAATTGGACCCCGGTACTGAATAGAATAAGAACATAACTTTAGATTATACTTTTGAGTTACAAAGTTATTTTCTGAGAACTTGGTGGGGTATTTATGGCTTACTTTTCTAAAATAAGGATAGAAATCGCTGGAGACAGTCCATGTTTTATTTGATACATAAACTGTATGACAAGGAATATGTTGATTTTAAACATATTTAATGTATTAAGTTTACGAAGAAGTGGCTCACAAGGCACAGTTCTTTTTACTCCAAATACAATTCTACATGCATATTTTTGTTTAGTATAAATTTTCTTTAACTTAGCGTAGCTGTTGCTTGCCCATACGATATTGCCGTAAGTTCGATAACATAGCTATCGAGGAAAAATATAAACTTTTTAAAGATCTTATATCCAAAAATGGTTTTGATTTATACGTCATTGCAATGTTTATTGAAAGTTTTCTTTCAAGAGTGCTTATATGTTTCCTTCATGTTAAATTTTCGTCTAAAATAATCCCTAAAAAGTTTACAGTTGTTTGCCTAGTAATATTTATATTATTAATTTTAAGATTGGGTAATTTTAAAGGAAGGTTTCCTGTTTTGGTTGGTTTGTGAAATAGAATAAACTTAGTTTAGTTAACGTTAAGGGAAAGTTTATTACAAAAAAAACCATTCGTTTACTTTGTTTACTTCTTCATTAACTACTTTAAAGAGAGTTTTAATATTCCTATGAGAATAAAACAGATTGGAGTCATCCCCAAACAAAATAAAGTATATAAATATATATATATATATATATATATATATATATATATATATATATATATATATATATATGTATATATATATATATATATATATATATATATATATATGTATATATATATATATATATATATATATATATATATATATATATATATATATATATATATATATATATATATCATCCCCAAACAAAATAAAGTATATAAATATATATATATATATATATATATATATATATATATATATATATATATATATATATATATATGTATATATATATATATATATATATATATATATATATATATATGTATATATATATATATATATATATATATATATATATATATATATATATATATATATATATATATATATATATATATATATATATATACATATATACATATACACATACATATATATATATACATTAGACGTTTCATTTGTCGAGCTTTTTTTGGAATAGTTTCAAAACATTTTAAATTTCCTTATAATGGAATTACCTTTCATTAAAAAATAATTTTAAAGAAACCATTTTGTCTTTTGATAATATATTTTCATATTTTTAAACGTTACATAACAAAAAAGACATTCTTTTTTTCAATAGAGTAAAGCGGGGCTAGTTGAGCAATTTTTATCAAGTCTAACAGATTTCATGAACGGTGCGTTGGACTTACATGATTTTTTTCTTATTTGAAAGATAATTTAACCTTCTAAAAATTTGTTAAGATAAAGGTATGCTTTTTGATTTTTTGCACAAAATGATGTCTAAAGTTTGCGGAGCTGCTCAACCTACCCCATTGGGGTATGTTGAGCAATAGTGTAGGGTAAGTTGAGCAATTAACAAATGAATGAATATTCATGGTACAAAACTTAAGTGAGTCTTCAATAAAACTTTCACTAACGTAAGCATGAGTTTAATTTATAAACTTTTTATTTTATACACTTTAATGACGTAAATATGAGAATAGAAAAAGTTAAATAGTAAGACAGGGTCATAAAATATAAAAATATTATTTTATACAATTATATTGAACTTTTAAGCCTGATTTTAAAATTACTAATTTAAAAAATATATAAATAATGTATCTAAAATTATTTTTTATCAAAGATAATTCTTTGCGTTCGAAAGTTCAGTTTTATTTTTTTTTCAACTTACATAGGGGCAAGTTAGGCACTTAAAATATCTCAAAATCTTTTTAAGAGAAGATTAAATAGAGGTTTTAAAGAGAACAGTAAGACTTATGAAAAAACAGGTAGTTTTAATCGAAACTAACTTTCATCCATTAGATGTTTTGTCATGTGATGCGTAGATTTTGAGGTATTTTAAGTGCCTAACTTGCCCCTACGCTCAACTATCCCCCCTCTACCCTACTCTGAGAAGAGGAGATAAAATTATATATAAAATTGTAGGTATACTTTAACTATTAATTTAATGTTGACTATAATTTGTGTATAAGAGTTTTCTTCTTAAAATAAATCTGTGTTTATTCTGAACATCTCACAGTGGGATAGAGCGGGCCAAAATACCAAAAAATCAATGTCGCTATTTCACGGTGAAAATTTGTTATAATGGTGAAGACATGTTCATTAGAGGAAATATCTAGTTAAAAAAACATTAAATATCAATTTAAACGTTATTTTATGTTGTTATTTACACGTGAATTTGACATATGTTCCAAAACGCTATGTTGTATTTTTTATTTATCAACTTTCTTACGTTACTATTGTTTTAAATTAACTTTATTGTCTTTCATTTCAAAAAATATTATTCTAATTATTCTAATTATTCTAATTAACTATGCTTTTTTTGCTCAGACTTTTAAAAACAATTTTACGTAAGTGTAATCATTAGTTTTTTGTATCGAAAACAGACAGTCTTCGATATTTTTTTTGCTACTTACATTTAATATAAGGTATCAGAAAAACCATCCTCCAATATTATCCAAACATTTGATTATGTGAATCTCAAGCTAAATGTATGTAAAAAGCCTAGCACCATAAATATTTTGCTACTTTTTGCAATAAAAAAAGTAATTACAAAACATTGGTCTTAGGTTAATGGTCAGTTGATGAGAAATACTGAACATATAAAAAAGATGTTTTGTACGCAAAGAATACCTACAAAATCTTTCATTACTGTTATAGTATACAAGTTCTGTATATATAAATATAAAAAAGTTATTTTATGACACATGCATTGAAAAGTAATACTTTTGATGTTTACACTGATAAAAGTTGTCTTGTCCATTAAAAATATTTCCAATTTTTTCCATATCCAAAATTTTATTTTTTTATTACTTTTTTATATTATATAATTACTTGTTTGTTACTTTATTTATGCATTTTATATATAAATATAGCTATTCTAATAAAAAAAAACTACGAAAATAATTTTGTCACAAAAAACTCGATTTTGTACCACTGTGCATTTGTTCGTTCCATTAAAAATATTTCCTATTTTTCAACAAAATATTATTGTGCATCTGTTCGTTTTTATTTGTTTCAAATATTTATCCACCTTAATATAATTTTTTTTTAAAAATGTTTCATATTTATTTTTATAATCATATAACTCTTTAAAGATGTCTTTTAAAATTTATAATAACTAAAAAAAATAAAAAAATAAAAGATTTTAAATTGCCTTCTGAAAAACTTTTAAAAGAAGTCAAGATGCGCAAAATATGATTAAGTGTGTGTATATATATATATATATATATATATATATATATATATATATATATATATATATATATATATATATATATATATATATATATATATATATATATATATATATATATATATATAAATTTAAAAAAAATTTGGCTGTAAAATTAATATTATAAATGCTGAGCTACGTTTAAATGTTTTAAAATATTTTTTTGCATATAGAACAGCACTAGTCACTACCCTTTCCCGCTTCGAAGTTGGGAGATCTTTAGCTATGTATCAATTGCTACTTTTGGAATCATTGGAAACGCTGCGGTAATAATAGTCACAATTTTGAATAAAAAAATTAAAATGACGTCATTTAATTTGACCATTTTTTCATTGGCTGTGACAGATTTTATGGCTTCAATTATTGGGTTACCAAATTATATTTTATCGACGAGTATATTTAACCATCCCGTTGGACTTAAAGGTGATTGGCTCTGTAAATTGTTTACTGGATACTTCTGGTTGTTCTTTTTTTTAGAAACATCTGTGTTCCTTCTTGTTTATATTGCATTTGAAAGACGGAAAGCAATTTTATTCCCTTTAAATAACCAAAATAATGAAGGAAGCAACTTAAAAGTTGTAATAATATTTCTACTCGTAATACTAGCTTTTACAATAGAGGTACCAACGATTAATGGTTTAATGTATGACGTCAAAAATAACAATGTTGGAAATTTTTGTAAATACAAATATTCATTCACGCAATCTATTTTCATTTATTTAGCTGTATTAACTATGGATTCAATTATACCAGCCATAATTATATTGTTCTGCTATTACCAAATTACTTCTTCACTTAAAAAAAGCTGTTTGTTTTTGAAAAGTAGAAATCTTTATGACATTCAAAGTACTAACACAAACAAAACTTCATCGATTTTGGGAAGTAAGTTCAAAACAATTGGGACGTTGAAAATAGTAAACATAGTATTTTTTGCGTGCATAGTACCTAACAACTTATTTTATTTTTTGTACCACGCAGGATTCAGAGACTTACATTGGACCTCTAATGTATTTCAAATTGGAATGCTTGTTAGATTTTCTAACGTTTGCATTAATCCATTTATTTACAGTATCAGGAGTAATCAGTTTAAAAAAAATTTTTGGTTTGTGTATTATTCTCGAATAAGAAGTAAATCCAATTATGAGTTAAAATTATAATATACTTTCCTATGTAAATATTTTAAGTTTTACAAAGAGAAAAGCACTAATGTTTTAAAAAATTTTATTTATAAATTATTTTCATTTGTCGATCGAAGCACAGAAAATGACAAATAAAAATGCAAGTCTAAATTTTTAAATGTTTACATTGTAAACGTTTAAAACTTGGATTTGCATTTTAAAGTTTCAAAGTTTGAAATAAATTATTAAGACAAAATTAATTTTAAAAATGTAAATGCATTTTTTCAAATAAATCTACATTTTTTATACTCCTATATCATTAGAACTAACAAACAATATCAATGCAATCGATTAAACAATTTTTTTTAACGAATATTTTCTTTTAATCGCTATTCTGTTGAATCGGTAAGTTAATAAGGCTAAAGATGATTTCGATATTCTATAATATCAAAAAAAAAAAAAAAAAAAAGAATAGATATCGAAATCACCTGCAGTATTTTGAGTATTAACAGCAGCTGTATTTTGGTATATGCTTTGAAGTTTAGATTAAAAGTTCATAAGACTAATTTTTGCAAATCAAAAATTGCTCTCAAAGCAATGTTTGATTTATTACTAATTTGAATTTTGCCATAAATAATAAATAATATATATCGTAATATATTACCTTTAAAAAAAGTATTAAATTTTTTACACAAACTTATATTTATTTATATAAAGCACTTAAAGTAGAACATTTACCCAGGGTACTAATTCAATATTAGGCGCAGTTAGTGAAAGTTCAAAAGTAAATGGTTTTGTTTTAAAATAGTGGCACGCAAAGTGATTTTTTACAAAGGACGTTTGGTTTTTTAATCTAAAAATGAAGGTTATAAAACTTAACAAGCAAAATTAAAACTTATTTTTCCATCTTCATAATTTATTTGAATAGAGGTACTAAAAATGAATGCTTCAATTGAACGAGTATCTTTTTGCTGTTAAAGCGAGGCATTATCGCTTTATTTTCTGCTCTTACAAGGATAAATTCATATAATCTCTCAAAACCAATGACCGTTTCAGTAGCTGCAGTTACCTAAAATATCAATTTATTTTAAAAACTATTTTTAAGAAATAAATATTTTTTTTACATTTTTAACAACTACAATATTATTGAGGATAGGAAAGGTTAATTTTACCTCTTTAATTGCTTTCTCAACTCCTTATGTGTGAAAAGGGGATTACGAAACAACCATTGGACAATTTAGGAACATTTTTAGCTAATTAATTTTCATTTGACAGATTAAGATAGTTTCATAGGCCTCATCCTATGTTATTACCTTAGTCAGTTTGGTTGACTACTGGTTTAAATGAGTATGCTCTAGGAGCTAAAGTTCCCATTTCCTCATTTTTTCTAATTTCAGGAATTTCCCTTTCAATTTTATTTTGTCTGCAAAGTAAAGTTTGAAATAAAATTTTTGAATGATAATCCTATGCTAATGATTTCACATATTTTTTAAAAAATATTTGTACATTCTTGTTTTGAAGTTTAATAAAGGTGAGTTGGTTCAATATATGCCATGACCCATCTATCTAACTATACTTCACGTTGATTTGAAACTACATTGAGAAGTTAACTGATACAAAAAACTTAAAAATTAATTCTAGGTTTCTTAAGACATTTCACTCTAATCTAGGATTGCTTACCCTAAGACCCTGTGTTGAGACACCTTAAATAGACTATAGAGCCTAGTTTTTGTTTAGCGAAACTTTCAGTATGAATTCCTAAATTTATTGTTTAGCATATTTTAAAAGCATATTTCTGATCTGAAGATAATTCTTTTATTGTTTCCTCACCCAGTTCAATTAAGCCAGGATCTATAGATATTAGTTTGAAGTTGTCTTTTTATTTCAAAACAACCTTAGACAGCAATTTATCAATGGGTTTAGAAACCCCTGTTTTTAAGGTTGTCTTCCCATCATGTCTTCTATTAAATATTTAAAGCAAAGTTTATTTGTGTGAAGAGAACATATAAGCCATCCTAATTTTTTTTCTAATTTATTCTCAAAATAACGGATAACGCTTTTTTTATAACCTATATTTTTAGCTGTGCTATTACAACAAATAAACTTAATTGTTTTATTATTACAACCAATGAAGCTATCTTCACCAACATGCAAAATTGATCGTTGAAATGTTTTATTTGCTATATGTTCGGCAGATTTAACTTTTGATTTATTCTACTTTGGTTAAACGATGAAGGTATTTACCATCAGTAAAGTGTAGTGATTTTTTGTTTTTTATTTAGAGGATCAAATTTTTTAGCTTTTTTGTTATTTGTCATTAAACTGGTTTTGTCTCTTCTTCCACTAAAGAAAATACAAGAAACATCTTTCGACTCAAATCTATTCTCTGCAAAAATTTGACACTCTGATATAACTTTATCTTTGACTCTATGCACTTTGTTTTTTTTCCAGCAATGAAAAAAGAATTCTAAAACAGTTTTAGTCTCCATCAAAAACTTTTAAAAATTCTGAACCATTTGCAGCTGAAGCAGTGTTTAAAACTTTATATCTAATTGCAGCAATAGCTGTATTTTGAACCTTTATGGTCGAAATATGTCTTGATTATTTATATGTATTTTTATGTATGTATACATTACATATATATAAGCAATGCAGACAAACACTAATCACTAATGTATCACTGATTCGATTCAACCAAAAGTAGCCGTTGTTCATTGTTATAGGTTTGACATTGACGAGGATAATTTTTATAAAATTAACTCCAGCAAAATGAGACTAAATAATATTTTTTTAAAGAAAGAAGAAGAAACAAATATAGAAGTAGAAAAAAAAAGAAAATGAAAAACAGTGAATAAAAGTAAAATAAAGTAAATAAAAAGTTTAATAAGACAAGACCTTAAGGTTTTCTGCAAGTCTACGCGTTTCTTTTATCCAACTTGATTCGTTTTATAAAAAAACTTGTATTACTTTTGATTGATCTTTTTGACTGATATTTGTATCAACTATTGTATTTTTTGTCTTAATACCATATTTTTAAAAAGAAAGAAAATATAAAACAAAAAAAAAAAATACACAAAAAAAAAAAAAACATAAAAAATTGGATGATTTTTCAATGTTGGTTGAGCAAAGATTAAAAATAAATTTGATAAGTGTTCTTTTTGTTAAGATATAAATACAAAAATTTATTTTAAATTATTTTCATATTTTTAAAAACAAAGCTAAATTATTTTTTCATAAACATTCAATGTTTAGAGATGATACATTTAAACTCTTTTAATTCGAACTCCTATAATCCGAAAGATCATTTAAATCGAACAAAATCTTCGATCTCTTCAAGGTTTAACATTTAGGATTAAGCACAAATAATTAAAAAATTCTTGTAATTTGGAAATATTTTGAAATGCCTTGAGGATTCAAATCACATGAGTTCAACTGTATACGAATTTAAAAACGATAAATAAGTTATATTTCAAGCAAATTTTATCTAAATTAGAGATGAAAGGCCGGTTGAATAAAAATGAGCAATTGCTTTTACTCAGTAATTGGTCAACTTAACGTGAATAAAAACTTTACCAATTATCGTTAAGTTTTTATTCACGTAAAGCTGAGCAAATACTGGGTAAATTTCAAAAATTTAAAATGAAGCAGCCGTGGCGCAGTGGTAGTGCACTTGCCTCAGAAACGTAAGATCCCTAGTTCAAACCCCACCTCTGGGCAAGTTTTGCGACATCGGTTGGGAAGGAGGCGTGAACTTCCTATTAAATGCTCTTCCTCGGTGCTCTGTGATAAGACCGTAAGGACTTCTTGGGGCACCTTAATCAACTTAAAAAAAAAAAAAAAAATTGCTTAACTTTACGCGAATAAAAATTTGAAGTTTTATTTCGCGTAAAGCTGAGTAAAAGCAATTGCTCATTTTTATTCATCCGGTCTGATTTTTATTCATCCGGTCTGATTTTTATTCATCCGGTCTGAACAATTTATTTTAATCAATTTTTTTTGAAACTCAATAAATTTTTTTGCTTATAGCTTCTTTGTATTACTACCATTCATTTCTAAGATGATTATCGAAGATTACAGAAATCTTTATGATTTAAGAAACAAATTTCTCAAAATTTCAGCGTTAGTACATTACATAGTAATAAAAATAAAACAAAAAAATTTATACCGACCTACGAAGATTTTTTTCAGTTAAAATGATAATTTCGCTGTGACAAAGTAAAGCTAATAAACAAAATTATGATAAATATATCTTTACGATTATTGACTATTTTCAGTAGCATTTTATACCAAAAAATCTAACCGGAAACTATTGAAACAAACAAATAAAAACCATGAAACTAAATCGAAAAAAAAATTAAAAAAATTAAAAAATATCTCTATAGAAACAAAACATTCAATAATAAATAAATAAAATAACGGAATATCGGTTCTAGACAAATTATTGGCCGGAACGAAAATAGAATTTCGACCGATCACAACACTATTAAACTTCAAATTCTTTAAATTTTCGCACTTTATATATTAAAATAACAAAAGGTCTAATCGGTTTCTTTTATCATTATAAATTTCCTACGTCATATTATTACGTCAATGCTGACGATCAACGCGTAGTTAAAAAGGTAAATATCTTTAAAATTACTTTCGTTAAACAAAGGAGTGCTTAATTATTTAATCGACGTTTAATAAGTTACAAAAACATAAAAGACGTTTACGTTTACAGTGTTTATAAAAAAGTGACTATTTTATGTTAAACTTTTAATAGTGCATTTTATTTTTCGAGAACAAATCTATGGCATGGACGGTGTAAATTTTTATTTATTTATTTATTTTTGTCTATTTTGTTTCTATAGAATAATTTTTTACGTAATTGTTTTTTTGATTTAGTTTCATGTTTTCTGTTTGTTTATTTCTGCAGTTTGTTTTTAACATTTTTTAACATAAACTTCAACTGGTAGCACACCAATATAAAACTGGATATCGAAATTGAAGCCGAAAATATATTTTAACGGTTGTATTAGAAGGTTCCACGATTGTATTAAAAAATTATTATTCTTTAGGCCGTTTTTTTTGATTTTTATGTTAATAAAAAAATATAATAAAAGACTAAATTAAAAAATACAAGTGAGTTACTTATCTAGCTGATAATATTTTTAATTATTGCACAAAATTTTTATTTTACACGATATTTCATCAATAAACTCTTCAGGAAAACAAGTTATCGTTTAATAAAAGAAAAAAAGAAATCATTTCTGAAGAGAAAACTTTGATCAGAAATAACATCAAAAAGAGTGCAACCCAATCAGTAAAACAAAAATGATAAAGTATAGAAAGAAAGGTGGTTAAGCAAAGAGGTGCTAAACAGCAACACACACAAAAAAAAATGTTCAGAGAATTCAAACATTATACCTCAAAAAATAGCTGAGTTGATGCTTAAGATGGCTCAACCACATTAAAAATAATAATTTTTTTTTTAGTTTACTTGCTTTCATTTTCATTTTGATATACTTTCAAATTCACTTTGACCTGACGTTATTTCCTTATTATGGTATACATTCGTATTCACTTTGAACTCACGTTTTACTATAATTTGTTTTATATTCTCAGCTGGCACTTACTTTTGAACTTGTAAAAAATCATCACACAATAGAGAAATTTGTAGAAATTATACCGTCAATGCTTGAAAAGTCAACTGATGACATAATAATTTTTTTTAAACTTTACTAATAAAGTCTATTTATGGCATTGAAACCGCAATAAATAAAATGCTTGTTGAAACAATTTTCTCAAGAGCAAAAGCATAATGTTTGATATTTAATACTTTATTATCTATTAGATAAGAACATTTCTTTTTTGGTATATCTTCTTTTTACTTCTTTGGCCAAAATCTATCTGGCTAAATTTAAGTTATTGGTTTTAGAAAGTACTTTTATTTTCAAGATATTCATTTACTTGAAGTACTTATACATGCAGGGTTTATTAAACTGGTTTTTTACAATAGTTTCTACTTTTTTACTATACTTTCTACTTTTTAACTACAGTTTCTCAAACCATTACTTCCAGGTTCTGAGAGAGTAAATTTTTAATAGTAAAGAGTAAAACATTATTGGCCACTTGTTCACCCATCCAGCCATAAGGGATTTTAAACGGATCAAGTACCTTTTTAACGTTTATAAACAATAAAACTTTTTAAAAATTTGTTTGTTTTATTGAAGTTTTAATCTGTTTTTATTGGTTTGGGTTTTTAGTGCTTGTGCATTGAATGTGCTTTTTTTAAATTTATGATTATAGAACACGACCAATCGCTACCCCTTTCCAATACGAAGTTGGGAAATATTTTGGTATGGATCTATAGCTGTGTTGGGAACAGTCGGCAACGGTGTGGTAATGATGGTCATGATTTTGAACAAAAACATCAAAATGACGTCATTTAATTTTACAATTTTTTCATTAGCGTTTACAGATTTTTTGGCCTCTTTTATTGGCTTACCAAACTACATTTTATCAACGAGTATATTTAATCATCCCGATGGGCTGAAAGGAGATTGGCTCTGTAAA